AAACATTGAAAATATCTCAGCAGTTAAACATGGTGGATTACTGGGAAGTTAAAAACTGTAAAAAGAAAAAATATATATAAATTGAATTAAATAAATAAATCCTGTAAAAATAAGAGTAAAATAATGACATTTTGTAGCTGTTTTAAAGACAATGCAAACAAATAAATAAATTGATGTGGAAATTAACTACATTTTTGGCCCTTTTTTTCTTTCTTTAGAATCAATGAAAAAAAAAAAGCAAATGTAACAAATTTAAATAAATAATAGAAGTTTAAAAAATGATTTGCCATTTTCAGTTCTTAATATAAAGAATCATGTTTTTCAAATAATCATACACACACACACACACACACACACACACACACACACACACACATATATATATATAGTTTTATTCTTTTATCAAATTATTAAATTATTTATTTAGTTTACAGCAGATATTTGATGTGGACACTTTTTCTAAATTTTGGCCTGTTTTGTTTTTTGTTTTTTGTTTTTTTTTGTTTCGTTTTTTTTTTAAAGGAATTTAATCAGTATGTAAATTAATACTTTTTTTTCTGTGATTTTACTAGTTATTATCTGTAATTTATCAAAACACTGAACATTTATAAAATAACAGGAAGTTATCCAAAAAAATTTGTTAAATGTAGTTTTTAAAATACTTTTTTTAAAAACATTTATTTATACTGCAGTCTGTCATTTAAACTCACATATGTACTATTTGCATGGTTAATATCTGTATATTTTAGGACTATGTTAAATAGACTTGAATCACCTGGTGCTTAAGAACACTCACATGTACATATTTGTATGTGTGATCTTTTGAATGAAACAAGTCGGGGATAACCCGGGGCCCAGTAGAGTCCGGTTTGAGTCGGAGTCGGGGCAGTCCGACTCGGCTGCAGTAGGAAGGGAGTCATTAAACTCCTCCAACTCGATGGACCGACAAATAATTACACTTCACATGCTGATTACAGGACTGACCGACAGCTGCCACAGCCTGAAGGTGGGAGGCCGGTTCCCTAGAGGTCGAACTGTGACGCAGACGGGCCTTCCTCCCTGAGGAGCATCAGCTGGATCCACTGAAAAACACCCACTTATTCATCCCGGCTAATGAATTGTAGTTTGAGCCAAGATGAGTGAAACTGCATCTAATGCAACAAAGTGAAAGAAAGCAGCCCGTCAGCTTGTTTTAACATCCCCACCAAAGATGCTGCATCCTCTCTACAGCTTATTTATTTTATTATTTTCTTGTTTGGGGGGAGTTATTTCACTTGAACAGCGCTGGTGATGCTCACATCTGCTTTAACGCTCTCCTCCATGTTGGTATGTGGATGGAGTTACTGTAACTCAATCACATGTACTCTCCAGCCTTGGCCCAGCTCCTGTCTGTGACTTCGGCATGCGCTCCGACTGTGTGCTAATGCTGAAGACGAGTCGTTTCGTTTTAAACGACTGAGATGAAATGTTAGACACCATTCCAGATGTAACATTATTCAGAATGTTTGTTATGTGGCTCTTCCCCGGAGGGTTTGACTGCAGCCCCGGGCTTCGCAAACAGAGCAAACCTAACACTCCCGTGTCCACTCAGCCCACTGATTGTCAGTCTTTTGCAAACATTGACTTATAAGGGATGGGAAGGAGGAGTGCCTGCACAGCTACACCACAGTTTTAACAAGACCTCGCCTCTGCATGTCACTGTAAATCTTCCCTGCTGACCAGCTTACAGTGACTATGATCAGGTCTGAAACAGCACAGACAGGTGACAGAACAATCACACCGAGCAAAGAGCTACTTCTGCACAGGTCAGGCTACAAGCACCACGAGCAGAGCGGCACTTGGGGCCTCTGATCTGGTCTTGTAGTTGTCACTTTCGTGTATGTGTGCAGCAGAAAGGCCTCCATTTTCACGTGAGTGCGAGTAAACCCATGTGGCGGGATGCAGGAAGTGTGAGCTCAGTGGTGAAGAATAGAAAGTGGATGTGGACAGGGGTTATCTGAGGTCGGACGCGTCTTCAGCTCCTCCACCAGCCCAATAATGAAAGTGTTTGATATTAAGGGAGCTCTGCAGGATGACAAACCAGTATTTGATATTTGAAGTGAAAGGGTTGATGATGATGAGTCATTTTTAAATTCTTAATATACAGAATTTTATAAAAGCAGAATAATGTTACGATCAAATATTGAAAACCTGGCAACAAGAGAGCCACAAAAAAACATGTTTAAAACGGTGGATTACTGCAACGTTTTTGTTTGTTTGTTTGTAAAAATAGCAGCAAATAGCTGTAAAATAATGAGATTTTTAGCTGATTTAAATACACTAAAATAGCATGTTTTTTTTGTCACACACTGTGAAAGAACAAGTTGCCATTTGTCAAACTGCAAATTTTTTGAAATGCACATTATTTGCAGGAGACATGTAGATATTTTTTCTTTGTGATTTTACTTGATATTATCTGTACTTTAACAAAAAAAAGGGAAAACCTGTATTATATGCGTTTAAAAAAGTTTGCTATTTTTCAATTCTTTATGTATTTTTTTAATACTGACATTATTTGCTGATTTAAATATGGTATAAATAATATAATTTCACAGTAAAATGTTATTTTAAAAAAATATAAGTAACTACCACTTATTAACACACGTGTTTTTTAAGTGGATGCCATTTAAAATTTTACCCTTATTAAAAAAAATAAATAAATAAAAATAAACTACTAGTAATAATAATAATAAAATATTTTTTTTAAAAATCAGTCAACATGTTTACTTTAAATACTTTTTCCTGTGATTTTACTAGTTATTTGTAATTTAACAGAAGATTAAAAATCTGTCAAACAGCAGTAGATTGTTTTAAAAAATTACAGTTAAATTCTGAGAAAAACCTTCACTTATACTCCATTCATCCATTGTCTATACACTTAATCCTCACTAGGGTCGTGGGGGGGCTGGAGTCTATCCCAGCTGACTCAGGGTGAAGGCAGGGGACACCCTGGACAGGTCACCAGTCTATCACAGGGCTACACGCAGAAAGATCCTGGTGCCCCCACCGGGATGCGAACCAGCAACCTTCTTGCTGTGAGGCAACGATACTAACCAACTTCTCCACCTTACAGCCCTCACATCTACTCATTGGTACATATTATTTGCATGGTTAACATATTTTAGGACCATAATAAATAGACTTGCATCATGTGATTTCACATTATGCTGGAGAACTTACAAGTTTATGTATTTATTTGTGTGAAGAGGTTAATGACCAATGAATGCTGATTTGGAAATGATTCCTTTAATATGAATAGTTGAGGAAAGAATCAGTCCAGCAAACTGATTCTGCTAAATTATCCCTGACAGTAGATTTTGGTTAAACTCATATCTCTTAACTCCGTGCAAACAGAGAGGAAGAGATAAGGCAGTCAATTCGGATTTTGAAATATTTACATTTTTACTAACTCCCTTTTACTCCCTGGATGAATTTCCAGGAATTCCATTCATTGCAACGCCTGTATTTATAGGCCTGACCTTCGTGTATGGATTCAGCATCAGGGGTCCTGGTCCAGGGTGGAGCTCTCCCACTGGAAATGAGTCATGTCAAACAGAGGAGAGCCCCAGATGCTATCTCTCAGTGGTGGGCATGCCCATCCACACTTTCACACATGCACTGAGTCATAATGAGTCAAAGACCCACACCGCATCACTCTGCACTCTGCACTCTGCTGCGTTTGTCTGTCTGGTTGCCGCGGCAACGAAATAATACGTTTACAGGAAGCTGTCCCATTTTGGATTCAGTCCAACATGCTTTAGTCGACTATAAGGCACATATGAACGCAATTAATGTTGAATATCAGTGGAAATCTGGGAGTGAGGCTGCCAGAAGAAATATATGTTTAAAAAAAGTGGAAAACTTCATTGCTTAAAAAGTGTAAAAATGCTAAAAATAGAAAATAAATTAAATTAATTTACACATAAAAAAAATTACCAAGGGCACATATCTGTAAAATAATGATGTATTTAGCTGATTTAGATTACAGTAAAGTGATGTCATTTATTGGCTACACTCTGTAAATAAAAATTAACGACAACATGTAAAAATACTGATTTTTGATTTGGACATTATGTAAAGTTTATGCCTATGTTTATTTATTTCTTTTTGATAGTCAACATGTAAATTAATATTTTTTTCCTGTGATTTCATAATATCATATCTGTAATATCACAAAATAAAATTGTGAAGTCCTTTATTTACATGTTTTGTTTTCAAATAATGACAAATACCTGTAAAATTAGGATACTTTTGCTGATTTAAATACAATAGTGCTAAACATAAAAGAACAAATTACTACTTATGAAAGTAAGTTCTTTTACGGTTAACATAAGCTCTGCAGAAGCCTGATAATGATCCTGATCATATGAATCAGGTGTGTTGGAAGAGGGAAACATCTAAAACATGCAGGATTGTGGCCCTCGAGGACCAGGATTGGACACCCCTGATGTAAATGAATGCTTTTCTCTGTGACTTTGCCAGTTACTATATGTCATTTAATAAAACATATCTATTACAGTGAATGGTCCAAATCAAGCTTTGTGAAATGTGTTATAATCCTCCGCCAATGTTGCCACATGTTCGATTAAAATACATCCTCATTTAATTGTGGCGATTGGACATCTTTTTTTGTAAAAATCAACAAAACAGACCACAGAAGTAGATCCAAATGTAATGCCATCATGTCACCATTAAAGCTGGGAACAGTGTTGACAAATAATCCTCGAGAGCAGATAACAGCTTTTAGTTACCACGGCACCAAAACAATGATCACCGGCTCCCTCCACATACACTAAGTCAGTAACTAAGGCAGCTCATGCGCTATTACGCATGGTGCGTCTATATTGGGAGCCCTGGCTGTGAACCAGAGGGTCACTCCATGACGCAGCGACGCACGCAGGGCGTTGTTCTTCCATAATGAGACACTTTATAACAGAACGTCAGCCCTGGCATCAATCTAGTCTGAGAGCGACTTGGGACGGAGGAACTACCGCTGTTGGACTCGTTTGGGGAGGAAAAAAAAAACCAAAACCCAAAACGCTGCTTTTTTTTCTTCTTTTTGCTTTCTGCGAGCCTAACTTCTTTTTATTGTGGGAATACAAGCTCCGCGCTCGAAGTAAGTGGACTTTACTCTCTTCTAAACTTTAAATGACTCAGTCAGTGCTGGCGGATTAAACGCGGAAACTGCGCTTTTCTCAGGGCTTCATGACGCTTCATTGCGCGCACTGACAGAAGAGCTGTCACGGCAAACAAACGACTGATTTTAAGCTTAACGTTGCCGATTAATACACTTACACGAATCGTGATTCTCCACCTTGTTTTTTTTTAACTGCTTTCTCTGTTCTCTAAAGAAACTACTCTTATGGTGTTAATGACACACACTGGCAATTTAAAAGCTAATTTCTCACCACTAAATGGAACAAAACATGCAATTTGAAAAGACTGTCAGGTAGATTTTGTGCCAATAAAAGCAAAGATGTACTCCTTGAGATCAGCTTCAAAGTTTAATCAAGTCATCTGAGACTAATTTGCCCACAACATTAACAATGACCCACTCTGTCTTAAAACTGACATTAAGGAGGGAAGAAGAAGAAAAAAAACAGGTTGGATACAGTTTCCCTGCTGGCTGTCAGTGTGAGCCGGCTGCAGCGACACACCCATATCTCACCAATTTGACATCCACGCACACACTGATACATGTTGACAGAGCGTCTCTTGTCCTCGTTGCCTTCCAGATCGACTGTAAAGATGCTGCTCCTACTACTGGGAATTATCCTCCTGCACATCGCTGCTCTGGTTCTCCTGTTTGTGTCCACAATTGTCAGCGTGAGTACAATTGTCATCATTTGCTCAAATGCTGCTTTAAGTTTGCTGAAAACGTACAAAAAAAACATGCATGTACGCTTAATATCCTGAAGAAAAAGTATAGCATAGAGGATTAAATACAAGCGGACTCTCTATTGAGGCTTACAGGCTTGTTGTACTTGCATTAAGAGATGTAAAATCAGCTCTTTTTTTTCCTTTGGTTGCTCTTTTCATGTTATTAAAACCTGTTGTTGCCACCAGGTCTGGACATCGAGTGAAGCTGGCACCTCAGACCTCTGGACAAACTGTTCTATTGTCAATGGAGGATACCACTGTAACCCAGCATCAACTGGAGGTCAGACACCTGCTTCATATTTCACTTTTTGTCTTCTTTAAAGCACATTTGACTTTTTAATTCCTCTGCATTTACACCACAATGGTTTATTCTGGGTTTTTAAACGTTGCTCTGCTGTGAAACTGCGAAAAAAAAATTAAAAATGGCTTGATTAAACTTTTCACCTTGTTGATGGTGTGGGTGTGTCGCGGCTCCTCTGGGACTATGGTGCCATCTAGGGCAGAGAATGTGGCTCTGCCTCCATGAAGCACTAGCTGATAGGCTGCCACTGTATAAATAGTCGTGGTGTGATGTCCATATTCAGGGTCTCGTGTTGGGACTCCATGGTAACAGAGGCGAGAGGGAGCCGGGAGACGATCGGGGTGGGGCCACGGAGAGTATTTAAAGTTTTAGATCTAGTCTGAAAGCAGGGAGACCTTGGACCACCTCGTGCAGAACATAGCATACTGATGGCGGGTCACGCCCCAGTGTCAGATCAGGGTGTCCAGTGTTGGTTTGCAGGGATCATTAGGACCATTTTAAGGCGGCAGCTGCAAGCGTTAGGAGATTTATGACAAAGATGCACAGAGACAGTGAAGATATTTTGGGAATGTAATGCAACTTCCATTTTTAAAAAAACAAATGATACAGCAACAAGCTCCTGTGAGATGTGCGCTGTATGTTTTGCTGCTAAATGTGTCGTCACCGTGGTGCAGGAGGGGATGATGTCATTTGTCTAGAATGCTCGGCCAGTATATGTGTGTGTGTTTTGTCAGCAGCAGCAGCAGCGCCTGCCTGCTCTGCCAGGTAGTTTGATGGTGCAGCCGGTTTGTTTGACTTGCTTTCATTAGCGTACTGACGCAGACCACTCCTGCGACCTGGAACCTAGCCCACGCGACTTCTTGAATAAACAATCCAAGAAGGCGCGTGGGCCAGTTCCCGGGTCGCTCTGTGCTCTTAGCTTTGGGAGATGGAAGATCTCCTCTCTTGCATTCATTTTCTTTCTGTAGGTCTGCTGAGCAATCAAGTTCCCACTAAAGTGAGTCATAATGGTTGTAATCGCGGCTATTTTTAGTGAGAAATCTCTCAGACTTTGGAGTTCCTCCTCGCTTGTTGCCCTTGGTTACGAAAATATTGATGACGCCCCCAAGTGCGAGGTAATCATACCGCAGTTATTACACGCCGAGTGAGTTAAACATCACATCCTCACAGCCAGGAAAATTACTTCATAGAATTTACTTGGTCTAAAATTAGCCGTCGAGGTAAGAATGTCTTTTGACGCCGCGCAGGCCTCCAGTACATAAACACAGCGAGGTAAATACTACTCCTCGGCACAGCGGAGTGTGGATGGAAATCAGAAACACACAAGCAGTAGAAATAATTCAGCTGAAGATGCACAACCACAATAATAAACCAGTCCCCAACTCAGGCCTCTCAAGCCAGGAAATGCCCGATGTCACTGTTTCCCACCAGTGAAAGGAAGGAAGGAGGTTTCTGTTTATCAGAGAGCAGTGATGTATTGTCTCTCACAGCGTTATCACAGAGTTATATATAAATATATATATATATAAGTCATTCGAAAACAGGATCATTACAGTGGAATCTAATTGTTGCTCTGGTGCATTTTGCGGATGATTTGCAGTGTGTCGTGTTTCCTCCCATATCTCACCCCTGAGCCGGTGTAGCGATGTTGTTGTGGGCGGTAACCCGACTCCAGACTCTGTGCAATTGTTGTGCAGATTCTCCAGGAAAGCTGTGAGATCTTTCTTGAAAAGTCATAAATACGCAGCGTTGTTATCACCGCGGTTTAAGTGTTGACATAACGCAAAGGAAGTTGCCTCTTAACCATCCTTTTCGTGCTAATAAACTACACATTGTGGCTTTTTTTCTGTCGTAAGCGCGTCACCATAATGCAAGAGAATCAATAAACCACACATGTGCCAGAGTGTTGAAGCAAACACGTCTGTAACTCTGTTTTCTAGACTTTTCTGCAAGATTTGCTGACATTAGTGGAGGACAGGAGCTACAGAGGAGATTATGCAACTGCTACACAAACAGACCTGGGTGGTCCCTTTTGTGATCAAGCACCTTGGCAGCAGTTGTGTTAGAAAACACACAACAGCAAAAAGCTAAAGAGATACAGAGATCTCGGGGGGGAGGAAGCAGCCAGGAAAGGGAGCACGGCTAAACCCTTAAGACAAGAAATAGATCCTGCTTGGATATCCGAGGATTCCCGGCACAGTGGCATGATGGGAACACAAAAACACGACGTCAGACGGACGGCTAAGTCGATGGCATTCCCTGTCGATACCGGTGTCTAATGGGTTAATGGCGTCTCACGGCCTGGCCTTGGAGGGTTAGCAGTCAGGATCGATGTGGTGCATTCGGTCGGAGGTCCTGCTGTGAGGGGAGCTTTTAGGAAACAGGATACCTAGGTTTCATTGTTATGGATCCATTACGCATTCCCAGAAGTAAACATGGTCAGGGGGATATCTCATTATATTTGGGAGGACGCCAAAACTCAGCACACTTATGCCGTCTTCATTTGTTTTCCTCCCATCGTCTTGTATACACAGATATGGATAATGCTCTGGCTAATGATAACTATGGGTGAGTTATTAATGACTGCACTCTCTTTCTCTCTCCTGCAGAGTGGATTCAGGCGGTCCAGGCTGTCATGATCCTATCCATCATCTTCAGCTGCCTGTCCCTCTTCCTCTTTTTCTGCCAGCTCTTCACTTTGCAGAAGGGCGGACGCTTCTTCCTCACTGGAACCTTCCAGATCCTTGCCAGTGAGTTCCACCCCTTCTTGACACTTTCTCACAAACAGCATAACTGAAATCACGTAGGCTTTAGGTTAATCAAGACTTTATTCTTTGCTTAGCTTTACAAAAAGCAGTTTGTTTAGGATCCAACTGTCATTTTCTTTCATGAATCAACTCATCACTGAACTGCCAAAAAGAAAAGCGTTGAATCGATAGCAGTATGCTAATCTTTCACTTTTTAATTGATCACTTCATCTGTGAACTGTATCAATAATAGAGCAACACCTGAGTGTTCATTAAGTCCACTTAGACAGGCAAACCACTGGTGGATGCTCACACCACATTTTCCACGGCAGAGAATTAAATTAAGAGCATCTGAGCCAGTTGCTAATGGTTTTTATGCTCCACTTGTCTATTGTGCTTCATGCCCTTTGGCCAGAGAGCAGCTCCACTGCCAGTCCATTGTTTTCTCTCTTGGCAGCCCTTTGCAAAATCCCAGGTTTTCTCTCTCTCTATAATGTGCCAGTGCATTGCCCTGGCTACCAGGTGCCCACTCAGCCAAACAGGAATGACACCGGGAGCGCTGCCAGCCGTGCAAGTTAAAATGTCAGGAAGGCCGGCGGTGCGGGGGGCCCGACAAACAGATCATGCCACGTCCGACCAGGGGGGAGGTGGGCAGGCGGGGCTCGTAAAAGGCCAGACTGGTGTTCAATAAGCATCTGTGATGTAATGTGGAGGGATGCCTTCTGGGGGAAAAAAGACGGAGCTGCTCGCCTCCGCTGCCAGACAGGGTTCAGATCAGGACACGAGTGCCCAGCGCGGCAGGGAAACACGATCCGATAATAGAACAGGATGATGCTCATGTCGTTTTATCGTTTCACTCTGCAGGTTTGTTCGTGATGAGCGGCGCCATCATCTACACGGTGATGAGTCCGGTGTGGGTGTCGGAGTCGTACGCCTTCGGCTACTCCTACATCCTGGCGTGGGTGGCCTTCCCCTTGGCGCTGATCAGCGGACTCATCTACGTCATCTTGAGGAAGCGAGAATGAGCCGCCGCTCCGCCCCAGTGTTCCCAGTAACCCTCTGCCCAACTGCAAGTGTTATCAGTCCCCCTCTGAAGTAGTGACGCCCAAGTCCAAGTGGCCGACAGAGGCCAAAACATCACAGCGAGGGAGGAGGGGGGAGTAATACCAAAAATACAACATGCAAACCAACATAAAAACACACCAATACTGTCTCAGTTAAAAGATGTATATAGTATCTATGGTTTAAAACCTATTTATAACACTTTTTACATATATGTACATAGTTTTTGTGTTGCTCTGCCAACGGATACTATGAGCTTTGTTTTAGCTGATTAAGTGCCTTAGTCTTTGTTTGTAATGATGAAATAATTATACACTATTTTGTTGTGTTTTTTTTTGGCCCTTTGTTTTGCCAAAGAATTAGAAAAAAAAGCAAAAAAAAGTTTCTTGAAGTATATTAACCAAAGTGCATGTATAGAAATAGAAGGGTTAAGTGAACTTTTCTCTCTCTTTTTTTTTTTTTTTCGGATGGGCTTGCTTTACAAAAAGAGTGGTAACATCCATGGATGTAGCGTAGCCATGAAATATAGATTTGGTCCTTTTTTTTCTATTTGTGAATTTGCAAGTTTAAGTGTTTTTGTTTTCGGTATTTTTCTATTTCTTATTTTCAACAAAAAAGATGGTGCTATGTATTTATCATTCCTATTACTGATAGCAATCATTTACAATGCTTCTTGTTATTGTTTAGAGTCAAACCGCTTGCCATTAATTACAACAAAAAAAAAAGTGAGAATCAGACAGAGGTACAGTTGTGCATAAGGTGCCTGACTGCTTCTTTAGGGAACACGGCCTATTTCACTTTGCAGTGTCTGAATTATTAGTTGTTGTTGTTTTTTTTCTCTTCATCAGCTACTGTAAAGGTTGAGGTGGTGCATTGATAAAAATCTAAAGTCATTTGGAATGTCAGTATTATTCTGCAAGTTTGGAAAGAGTTTGGGAGAAATAACTTACGCTTTATTTTTCTCTCTGTTTTGCCTTCATTTCGCATCATTCTGAAAGTTTCAAAAAGCCAAATTTTGTTTTTTTGTAGAATATCATCAAGAAGATAACACAGCGGGGCATTATAGCCAAATTTAACAATACTAGGAACCACCGAGTTGAAGCCATATCAGAAAATACCAGATGATAGGAAAAGGATATTTAGTATTAACTCTACAAGTGAAGAAAAAAAGGACAGAGAGGTTTGCAGTGATGATACAAAAATGTCTGTTTCACATACTTGAAGTTTGACATGCTGCAGTCTCTGCCCACTGATGTCTACGTGTTGTTGTTTTTCTTCCTCTTCTACTGTATAAAACACTGTTTATATGTTGTGCATAACAGATGTTTGTGACAATCTAGCCTTAAAGAAAAAAAAACAAAAAAAAAACTCACTGACTAAATAAAACTACTCTCACTAATGCTGTGTACTCCACTGTTACAAGGGACTGGATTCACTCTAACACTCGATGCATGTAGAAGTCGTTTTTTTTTCTTCAAGGATGTTGTTGACGCTGTCTGCCAATAAAACTCTGAAACACACCTTACTGAGCTGCAAGAAAGAAAAAAAAACCCTGCCAATTGAATGGGAATTAAAATTCTGAACCATTTGTGGTGATTAATCTGTTCTAACTGACAACAGATGCATGTTCACGTGCTGTGATCGAAGATGTCATGTAAATTCCAGCCGGTTCGAGTCAGCCTTTTGCGGTACGTGTTAGTGAATCAAAATGAGCCGCCTCGCAAACACTGCATGCGACCCGAGTCACCCACGCCGGCTGCAAAAAGGGCTCGGCGCGCGATGCCAGTTATTCGAAGCACGCGGCTCGTGTTGCAGTGTCAACAGTGTCGTGACATCAGGAGTAAGAGGAATTTTGAACGCTGTACGAAAGCGTCTGTCGCTTGACATCTCCTGTGAGACCCTCTCAACCCAAACAGAGCTATGTTGTGGTGGATTAGAGCATTTAATTCATAGCTTACACTAGCTGGTCTGCTGTGTTCTTTTTTTGTTTTGTTTTGCTGTGTGGCATGATGCTCATCACAGGGTTCAGTTAGAAGACGCCGCCTCTAATGACAACTGCCCTCTACTTTGTGCAAAAGCTACAGCCTCGACTGTCTCTACCATGTTTACATCTAAACTTCCACATGCTCTTGATATTACCAAAGCTACTTTGAATTTACCCATTAAAGGATGTTTCTTACCACCACCACAGTGGGGCCTTTTTTTTTTTGTGTCTTTCAGTTTGCAGCACACACTCATAACATCCGATCAGTACGGATGCCCGTTTCGATTAAGGTTGCTCGCAGATTGTCGCTGTAATGAGTCTATTCCTTTTAAAGACTGCGGCCAGTCGACAAGCTTCTGAGCCGATGATAGGCATCTAAATCTCCGAGCAATGAAAGAGTACTCTGAGGAGGAGGATTCGAGTTGCAGGCCCAAGAGGTCGCAGCCTCCTACTGCCTCCCCCCCTCTGACATACTAGAACCGGGTGACATAGGGACACTGCAGTCTTGTTTGCATGTTTGTGGGCGTGTTTTGTAGTTTAGACTAAGAGAAAGGCATTAAATCCTGTAATAATATGTGTATTTTACATCACCATGTTGTGCCCACCTTTCTCTCTCTCAGGATATATATATACATACTTATTAATTTAACATTTTTTTCATATTCTGTGCAATATCGCCATCTGCTGGTGTAACACAGCAGCAGCACCAACATTTAAAAACCACACCAGATGGACAAATGCTGCCTCTCTGTGGTCCAACACGAGCACTGCAGTTAAACCCAAGACCCACCACGGTATCCAGAGGAGATTCAATGCCTCCCCTGGGTGTAGCGCATCATATTTTCCCTACTGAAGTATGTTAAACCTCATTAACTCCATATATGATCATTAAGCCTCGTCTACAGCTCAGCTTGTTTGCGAGGGCGCATCTCTGCCATTAGCATGCATGCAGCAGATAGAGAAGGGTGATTTCTCCCACTTGTCTACTCTCTATTACCCTTCAGTCAGTCTAATGAATGCTCCTCCTCCGGAGCCATTATGAAGGGCTTCATGGCACAACACCTCATTAGAGGTAAAGGCGGAAGACGAATGAGTCTTTTACTTTTGATAAATTACAAAAAAAAAAGAGGAAAAAATCAGACAAAGCGGTGTCACAAAATGAAATGAGAAGCACGAGCAACGAGATTCAGGATTTGAAGTTGAGATGCAGCTTAAAGACAGGAAGAGAGTCAGATGAGCTGAAAAAATTAACAAAATGTAGATAAGCAACAATTAAAACTATAGCGGGTCAAAAACCTGAATGTTGTTTGGCATAAACTGCACGTTTCTGTACCAACATGGATTCCCACCACTAATCTGAAACTTATTTCCTCATTTCAGCAACACAAGATCACTAAGATGTGCTTACTTATGTAAAGACTTTTCACTCCGTCAAACCTTTCCCAGTATGGAAACATCTCATACGTTCTGTTTATCCATTCATTTATTCAGGGTTTTGCATACATTTCTTACCCGTCTACATCTAACCGATTTACTGAACTGTCAGGCCTGTTTCCATTGTTTACACTGTGCTAATCCTCATCTATTTTTATGTGGTCTCGATTGGAACTTGTGCAAGATATTAGAGAGATAAACGTGTGATGCATTAGAGCTGTTATTTAACCTGCAAATGTCTCTAAATAATCTGTCTAAACTCCGCCTGTGCACGCACAATATTTAACACAACAAATGTGCGGTGGGACAAAGCAGACAGGCGCCAGATAAATTTGTCACATTATGCTGAACTGACACCGGTCTGAAAAGAATCATCCAGTCCCTGTCACATTAACCGCGGCGATGATGACAGATCAACATTCTGTCATCGTCGCCTATTCGATTTGGCCTCTTGGCTGTTTCACGGACGTTGTAAACTCTTGAATCCAAGTGTTTTTGCACATGCATGTGTGCAATAATAGTTTAAAAAAAAGGCCTAAAATAAAGAGCAAAGTCATTGTATTGTGTCTGTCAAACACTGACGGATACGCATTATTACCTCGGTGCTCTGTAGGTGTCTGGGGATTTCTACGCATCATTGTTTTTCCATCACGGGGTCAAGGACGAGCTTTTAAAATAATCACTTTTTCCCATTAATGCCTTAAAAATTCTCCCCGTCTTGTCCTATCACACCCATTGTCACTATCACATCCTGCACCGCTGCCTCCGACCTCCCCCCCCACCCACTTTTTTTTTTTTGTGTGACTTTGACTCGACTGGGAGATAATATTTTCTAATTTCTGGAACACAATGAGGGGGATGCAAACAGAAGGCCCACCTTAATCTATCACGGCTCCTTCAAGGGGTGCAGGGGTGCACGGTGACAGGCACAAAATCGCGGAGCCGGTGGGGAGGAGGGCAACAGACGCAATTAAGGCTCATGAAATGCAAATGGTGCTTTATGGAGGGGGGAGGCTGGTGGAGGAGGGCTCGGTCCTACTCCTGGCTTTCCGCTGCCATCTGCTTGCCATCACCACCACCAGTGGAAGGAAACCTCTGGGTCTTGGTAATTTGTAGCTTTAATAATTTCTCTCTCAGCTGGAGAAGAAAGAAAAGGAGATGAGGCTGGAGGGGCCGAGGACATGCAGCTGGCTAAGATTAGATTTAGATTAGCCAGTCAAATCACATGGAGATCTGACCTCTTACACTTTAGCGCGGGCGTATACACGATTACATGTTCACATATGCATCACATATGCAGCATTCGGTCCTGCTCTTGCTCCAACTCCCTGCAACAACACTCGACTATACTCCATCAAAGTTGACCCTAATCCAAGGTGTATCTTGCCCAGTGGCTCCATAAATCCCTGAGGATGTCTGGAGGTTATTTGGGAACATGATCCCTGGCCGCTGGGGGCCACACCATAACCCCGAGACCAGATTCAGGCCCCCAACTCTCCCCGGAGCGCCATTGGAAGGGGTCAAAGTGGACACTGTGTTTTTTTTTTTTTGTTTTTTTTTTCTTTCATTGCCACAGCCATCCATTTGTCACATGGAAACATGGAGCGGATTGAGCCCGCAAACCCACCGCTTTCTAACACCCTCCATACCGTCCCATTACGAAGGTCCTGACTGGGTCAAGGTCATCCCCACACATAGCTGACCCCCTGATCCCATGGGTGTCCGTCACGCTCGGGGAAATAAAGCGACGACTGGCAGCTGATGTAGTCGAGGAGTAAATCAACTTCAGCTCCCGCCATACATCAACATCACTTACGCCAACATGCACTCACAATGAGGGGCCTAATCATTTTATCAACAATAAAGGAAGCCGAGAGGACGGAGCGATGCAGCACAATCACAAGTGCCGGAGCTTTGTGTGGCGGTTTCAGAGCAGACTGCACTGTTGAATAAAAGCCTCTGGGAGCGTGAATATGGTTAGTGGTGACTTTAACGTCGGTGAATGCACCTTTAGCAGCTGGAGAATATCAGCAAACATATGATAGGCCTCACTTTTGTCCTCGTGAAACTGAGAGCGCGCTTGTAACACTCACATTGACAGGGAAGTTTCCCAAAAAGATCAGTGACTCTCTTAAAAACCTTTCATAACAAAACATCAAGTGTGTCGTAACAAAAACGACACAAGCAACTCGGGATGGTGCACGGCAGGAATCTCTCAGCTCTCCAATGTATATATAGCATTTAATACACACTGTACGCGTGCAAAAGCGCGCTGAAACAGTTGCAAAATCTGCAAAACTGAAAAAAAAAAATTCCAGAAAGTTGCAAGCCCGAGTTAACAAGGCTGCTTTTAATTTCTGCAGACAGACAGACACACAGACGGCTCTCATGAGGTCCAGTAAAGCGTCATGCCGGTCAGATGGACAGCAGTAAAAAGCACTCTGAATGGTGTCAATGAAGCCTCATAAATTCCCCAGGCAATAACTGGGCCTCCTCGAGGGGGAATGGAATACTCGAGTTATTTGTGGCTGCGCTGCATTTAAAACAGGCAAGATTTGAGAACCCCGCTTACTGATGGGGTACGTAGACGCTTTTTTTAAGCACACATCCCTGTGAACACTTAAAGTTTTAGCTATATCATGAGAGTGAAGAAGTTGTCCGGCCATGACTGAGGGCTTTGAATCAGTTGGCTCAAGCAGGAAAAGATTTGAGCCAGAGATACATCAAACTGCTGGGACAGCGCTGGAATGACGGTATGTATATGACTGTAAAGTTCAGCAGAATGGTTGGTGCCTTCAAACCCTGCAAGCTTCAGACCACTAGAGATACTGTAATGCCTCATCAACAGCTCTTATTAGTACCATGGCAGCTTCTCTCAGCTGCCTGAGTGTCTTCTTTTGATATTATTAACACCAATCTCCCAGAAAAAGGCCTCAAATCTATATTAAAGTTAATTAATTGGATGAGTTTGCTTCAATGCCAGGCCTGAGCTTTGCTGCCACTCTCTGGACACCGTGTGACAGCACCAAATATGCTATAAAATGTTATGACAAAACCCAGCAACCCAAACAAATCACGTCCTAGAACTCCTAAAGGGCACCCTGAGATCTGACCAAAATGATTTAAAGGCTAAAGGCTTGTATATAACAGCTAATTGTGATATCACTCTCCTTTTGAGTAATTGAGCTGATCAAAAAAAAGAAAGGCTCTAAATGAAAAAAAAAAAGTCTTTTTGTCCACAGATACAGAAGAATTTGGACCTAAAGGCTAATGAAACTATGATTAGTAAACCTAATTAGTCAGCTGCTTTCCAAGCCCCCGTGTGTCTCCGAATCACTATTCACGTACACGGAACAGAGACGGGGTGATTAGCAGAACAAAGACGGATGCTGTAATCTGCTCTCGGTGGAGTGTCTGCCACGGCCCATCAGGAGATAGCAGGGCCGGGCTGATAGCGAGGGGGACCGTCGGGGCTGGTAAGTGCCCATGTAGCGGTGGAATCCCAGGACAAAGGAGGAGGGCAGAAGGGAAGATAAGACGGGACTCAGTGGCATGAGCATCCAGAGTGATACTGCTTTGTGTATGCATGGCAACAGAACAAAGCAAAAACATCTACTGTACATGCTTAGCATGTTCAAAAGTCCATGACATTCAAGGTCCAATCCAGTATGATAATGCAACGACCACGTTTTATAATTTGATATTTTGACATAACAATGCTGTTTCCTGCAACAAGCAGACACTATTCATATAGTTTAATGTAAAAGACA